CTCTGCTGTTCCTTTCTCCTCAGGGGAGGACCCATCACACTCTTCCCCTGGTCCAGCGTGGGGTCCCTGCCACCAGAGACAGTCCTCCACAAACTTCTCCAACGTGGGTCCTTCCCACGGGCTGTGGTTCTTCACAAACTGCTCCAACATGGGTCCTTTCCACAGGGTGCAGCTGTTCAGGAACAGACTGCTCCAGTGTAGGTCCTCCACAGGGTCACAAGTCCTGCCAGCAAACCTTCTCCAGCCTGGGCTCCTCTCTCCATGGGTCCACAGGTCCTGCCAGAAGCCTGCTCCAGGGTGGGCTTCCCATGGGGGCACAGCCTCCATCAGGCATCCACCTGCCCCAGCGTGCGGTCCCCCATGGCTGCTGGGGGATGGATCTCTGCTCCACCGTTACCTCCATGACTGCAGGTGCATAGATCTCTGCTCCACCGTTACCTCCACAGGCTGCAGGGGAATCTCTGCTCCGGCACCTGGAGCACCTCCTGCCCTCCTTCTTCACTGACCTGGGCAGCTGCAGAGTTGTTCTCTCACATCTTCTCCCTCCTCTGTCCTGCTGCAATTTCTGTTGCTTGGTTTTTTCCCCCCCTTCTGAAGTATATGTTATTCCTGAGGCTCTACCACCGTTACTGGTGGGCCCAGCCTTGGCCAGTGGCAGGTCCATCTTGGAGCCAGCTGGCATTGGCTCTATCAGACATGGGGGAAGCTTCTAGCAGCTTCTCACAGAAGCCACCCCTGTAGCTCCCCCATTACCAGAACCTTGCCACGCAAACCCAGTGCAGTGTCCTGTCATTCCCCTGCCATGTTACCCCAGTTTCAGTCAGCTCTTGTTCCTGCCGCCTCAGAAAGGTTTACTGAGAGTGAGACATATTAGGTAAGAAGTCAGCCTTGAGGGCAACACTGGAAAATAATTTAGGAAGGGAAAGAAAGTACATATTTGGTCAGGTCTACATGCCAGGTCTTGAACCAGCAGAGCTGTTTTGCCAAGAAGTGTGGTTTTGTTTGACTGAAATAGTTATTAATTCAACTTCAAGGCTGATTGCATCTTTATGGCCTAAAATTGCTTTATAGCTGTAATTTATTCTCCCTTTCGTACAGGAATAGCTCTGGCAATGGCTGGTCTTGCTGTAACTAACACCCAGAGGGTGAGCTGAGAACAATTATTCACTGCCTGACAACGTAGGAACTGTCAAGAAAACCTACCAAGCAACAGGTTCAGCACTGTCAAAGGGAGGCACTTAGTGTACAGAACCTATGGACCGCCCTGGGTGGGTCCTGTGGGTGCTGCTGTGAGTTCAGCATTTGGGCAAGTTCATGTAGTTCATTTGAAGTACAGAGACCCCAGCTCTTGTTTAGGCAGCCTTTGAGCCAACAACTGGGATTGCACCCAAGCGTGGGAGCATGGCAGGGCTGGAAAAGCTTGGAAAGCTACCTTAGCACAGCACAATAGAATTGTTTTGAAATTACTTTATAGCTCCTACAGAATACAAACATAGCAGCAGGACTCTGATGCTGTGAGAACTCCTCCATTCAAACCAGTCTCTGTTCTTATAAAATGCTTATTGAATAAAATTATTATAAAATTTGAATTAAAGACATGGGTTATACGTTCTTTATAAACACCATCAGAAAAGTTTTTCAAAGCCACAGGGATAAGAGGTGAAATTGCCTTTATTCATCTTAGTATAAACTAGGAAGAGGTAGAATTAATAATTTCTAACATGCTAACCTTTTTCAAACCCTGTCCATTAGATGCGTCTAGTGTCTCTGAACTGAGCCCAGGTATTGTCCTTTAAACATGTCTTTCAGATCATAATAGCTTATCCAATTGGATGGCTCAAATCAGGCATCTATTATTTCATATTCCACAGGTGCTATGTAATGCCTCAGAAAAGGTTGTGCATGTCCGTTCCTGGAAGAGACATGATTTCTTGCAAGCAGCAAAATTCAAACAGAACCAGAAAGCTCTACCATGCCCCTCCTCTGCATTTTTGTGGAAGCACCTTAAAAACACCTCGCAAAGCAAGTGCATTTCTCAGGTTGTCAGCACAACTTAGCTGTAAATTGAGGAGCAAATTTCTTACCATTAACATTCGGGCTTTGTGTAACTGTAAGTCTTGAGTTCTGAAAGGTCATAATCTCAGTAAAAGGTAGGAGAAATTTTATTTCCATGGGAATTTCTTTAGAATAATTCACTAACAACTCTCCAATGAAGAATTCAATTCTCACATGTTATGGCAATAGTTTTGCTGTAATAAACATCTTTTTCATTTTTTGTGTGTTCAGAATCTGCTGCTAATGACCTCATTTTCTGTGCATCCCCTTCAGCATGTGGTGGTAGTTCTTCTTCTGGAATAAATTGAGCAGGCCAGAATCTTCTTTGTGGGCTTGTGGGTTGCTTCACTGTCCTTACTCACCTTTCCAATTTGATGGAGATCCTTGACAATTATTTTTTCAGTATCTTCTAGTACCGTTGTCAATAAATTAAACAGGAGAGCAATCCAGGCAAGGCCAAAAAGAATCCAAATGGCCACCAGTGTTCGGTAGTAGGAAAAGTAATTCCTGCCAGGCTGTTTACCTGCAGATAAGGGGACAGAAAGAAGCAGAAATTTAACAAGTTAAAATTGCTTTGCCTGTGTAAAGTGGGCCAGCCTAATGAATCAATCAATGCATTTTACGTTGAGTACTTTAAGGTGACTTTTTCACTGTAGTGGAGTCTGTCACCTCCCCAGTATTAGGTTAAGGCTGGGCAAATCTCTTCTTGTTGCAACAAACTGATACATGCTAGCACAAACCTGCTGGCCCACCAAAAAGACTGGGATTGAGGTGAATTAGCAGCAGAGCAGGGTATTTGTTTCCCCTTATAGCATACCAATCCCAATTCAATCTCCTCATCTACAGGTAAATGCAATGACGTAGTGTAAAATTATATTGTATTATCTTGAAAATATTCCCAGACTCCCCAAGTACAAAAAGCAGAGCACAGTGGGCCACTATAAACCCATGACTATTACTACCTAGGTTATTGTAATTCTGTCTATTTCTATAAAGTGTGATTTTAACCTAATAAATAGTTGCTCTAAATTATAGGTACCCTTGATCATACAAAGAGTAGTTGTTGCAACTCCCACTCTACTTTTCACAGAATTATTGAATCACAGAATGGTTTGGGTTGGACGGGACCTTAAAGATCATCCAGTCCCAACCCCCTGCCATGGGCAGGGACACCTCCCACCAGCCCAGGTTGCTCAAAGCCTCATCCAGCCTGGCCTTGAACCCCTCCAGGGATGGGGCATCCACAGCTTCTCTGGGCAACCTGGGCCACTGCCTCACCACCCACATAGGAAAACATTTCTTCCTAGTATCTCATTTAAATCTGCCCTCTTTCAGTTTATAATCATTACCCCTTGTCCTGTCACTATACTCCCTGATAAAGAGTGTTTTCCCATCCTTCCTGTAAGAAGGCTTCAGGAACTTCCTCCGTTAAAAAGTAGGTGACCGATGAGAACTCATTGACACATGCCAAGAACACCACTTTGTGTTGGAAACCAGTGGACTGAAGCTTATTTCATGCACTCCAAACCTCTTAGCATCAGCCAGTATCGCACACCCGCTTTTCTGCATGGGTCATTTCCTTTGCTTCTTCAGACGTCAGCAATCCACCACCAACATACAGAGAGCATTTGCTCCTACTGCACTTAGTCCCACACAACGCTATCACCATGATACAGCTGCTATGGCCCTGGCATCTGTAGGAAAACTTGGTGACACTGCTTATTGAGTGCTGTAAGTCACTGTCAAAGGTGACTCCATGTAGGTAACACAGCAACGTGCACGGACAGGGAGATCACCACAAGCCTTGTGAAGCTGCCCAGAAGGAGCCAGGATGCTGGGAACTCTTTTCAAGTCCTGCAGTGCTCTGTATGCATAGAACAATGTGCAGGATTTTTGTACTTCATCATGCAAGAGCTGTGAGAGATGGGGGAGAAGTGGGCTGGTTTCTACTCATGGATCCAACAGCTGTTTCTTTTTCTTCTGCTGGGGTTGAGTTGACAGAGGGGATGACAACCTTACTACAAAACATCTTTTGTGCTCTTGTCTGAAGTTCACGATGTGGGGTTAGCAAAGCGACTAGTAATATCTTTGTAATGCTAACCCAAAACTGGACTTCAGGAGGGCATAAATTTAGTTTGCAGCCCAAGAGGAGTTTCACCCTAGAAATATCACCTGTGTGCACATGTATTACAAACAGTTAAATCCAGTTAAATCTGCCATCTTCCTAGGATGCCTTCCTACCCAAAACGGGCTTTATTTCATGCTTGAAGTACAACTGCTACAAACCAGTCTTGAATTACTAAAATGCAAATAAACTCCAACCTGTTCTGTTCCACTTGGCTAGCACAAATCCATTTGTCACCTGTAATCAATTCTAAACAGATAATTCTCCAAGCAGTCATTGATTTTGCTGGTTTCGTTGTGAAGATGTGAGGCATTAAACTTATAATCATTTAATCACCATTGTTTAAGGCCAATTGAGATAAACACTGCAGGGAGAAATATTTCAGCTACAGTTAATTCATCCTAATGAAGATGAAATCACAGAGCCAGGAGGTCTATCTAATTGTTATTTCAAATCTGTATTTGTAAAATAATACGGCTACAGAGGAGGAAAGTGCTATGGAGGTAGTGGTTTTCAGGCTGTGACTTGCTGTCATTATTGTAAAACACACTTGTAATTGGACAAGGGAAGAAAATTCATTGGTTTTATGTCCACTTCTCCTCCTGTGCAGCACCAGCGACTCTCCATCTTCCTGTATTCCATGTCACTGAAGTCTGAGGTGCTCAGTATCACACAGGCCAGGATTATCAGTCCTACAGACGGTTAGGAAAGAAACACCTCTTTCTTTCAGGTGTTTGGCCCCATCTGGAGAAAACAGAGAACAAGGAGGCCACTGCCATGATACAGATTCCTTGCTGATGCCTGAGTTCTGTGTTGTGTTCACGGCAACACTGCTTAACCACTGTTGGAGACAAAGAATCTTTCTCTGGATTATGTGGAAAGGGGAATTTCAGGGGACACTGTTTCCTGTGTTTTGTAGCAAGAAGGATCAGTTAGCTAGCTGGGATCACTTGGGGAAATGTGGCCTAATCAACTCATTGCCACTGCATGAATTAGCCATCAGCTAGGCTACAAGATCATTATGATCACTAAACTCATGAAAACAAGCAAGATGTCAACTGGATCATCAAAGCACTACCCAGCCTCTTTAGCAGACTCAGAGAAACTAAGGGCAGCAGGAAACATCACTCAGTGTCTGGAAAAGCTTGTGGGCTTCCTCTGCCAAAGTCCTCAGCCTGATGTGAGAAATCTTTCAATCTTTCTGCCAGCCAGCCTCCAAGGCCCCTCTCGCATCTCTGCGAGGCTTGAGAGCCTAGGGTTTGTTGTGTGGTGGATGTCTGTCCATCAGAAAGGGACGTGAGGCTTCCAGATTCTCTGTAGGGACCCCACTGGTGCTCAAGTATTGCCTTCAGAGTTTCCTTCTCATATCCCTGCTGAAGAGAAGTTCAGGCTGGCAAGACGCTGGCAGGACAGGCTGTTGTAGAGAAATCTTTGATTCTCCATGGAGTCCAGGTGTTTGATTGCTTCTTCTGTGGACACTGATTTGGCCCCAGTGATCAGTTTGGAGTTCCTCTGGATGCCATGGAGAGTGTATTTTGGTCAGTGGATCCATGGAAGTGTTTTGAGAAGCACTCCAGCATGCTGGAGTGTAGCTTAAACAGTTTGTATTCAGGGGAAATCCTAAACTCTGGCTTGTAAAGACAGAGAGCCTGCAGTGATGCATAGGAGACTAAAGAAGGCCACTTTCACAGTGAGATATATATATTTAAGCCCCACTTCTCACAGAGTGAGCAGATTTCCCCACTTTCCCATGACTGGGATTTCCACCTCTCAGTCTGTGGTGTAAAATCAAGTCTTCTGAAGCATGACCACTTATTTCTTTACTTTACACTTCGAAACATAGGTCTTAGATGGCTAAAGCAAGGATACACGCCTTTTTCTGTATGACTGTCGCAAGCTGTTCCCTTTTGGTATATGCAAATGCCTGAGATCCTTGAATTCTCCCCCTACGTTTCCCCTTCCCTCCCCAAAATACTTGGCTTCTTTGCATGCCAAAGTACCACATTTCATTATATTTAGACAATTTTGGGCTTTCTTCAGCACATGCAACCCCTGAGAAGTGAGTACTTCCCCCAGAACTGCACAAGTCAAAGACTCAGAAGATTTGTGTCTACAGTACATTGGTGGCCTGTGCAGTCAATCCATGGCAATTACAGTCATGATCCTTGTGCTTTGCTGTGTCTTCTCTCTGAAATCAACCTTACCTACTACATAATCTCCAAAGCCAATGGTGCTAAGGGTGATAAATGCAAAGTAAATTCCTTCACTGTAGGACCAGCCCTCTGTTATCTGGAAGAAGACGGATGGCAAGCACAGAAAAACTAGGATCCCCGTTGCCAGGAAGAAAAAAAGGGTCAGAAATTTTATCTTCTTCTGAAAAAGAAAGAAACCAATGCAATTATAGTCATGATTTGACACACTAGCAGGCCATATATAAGGGTGGCTATTCAAAATGGGTGGCTATCTAGGAATACTGACTAGGACCACAGGAACTGAAAGATTTGTATTGAATTCTCTTCCTCTAAAAGTACCCTAGCCTTCCTCTGAAGCAGGGCAAAGCCATGTACTATGGGTGTTGTATGCCCACAGTAGCCCTGGGAGGTCGTCTTTTATCTGCTTGTATCAACCTCAAGTGACCATGGGTATAGGAGGAGTTCCTATCCAATGACTTTTAGTGGAGTCAGACTATTTCCACTTTTCACTGGACAACTTCACTTTTAGTTTTTAGGTATTCAGGTGTGTCACCCAAAGAACATTCAAATTTGCCTGAGAAAACAGACTTTTAAAAAAAATATTTACACCATTTCTGAGAGTACTGTCTCCAAGAGTCTTGATTGTTGCCTTTATTTCTCATTGCCTGAGTGCCACAACATGGCTCCTACCCAGTGGATACCTTACTACAAGAAGACCTTTAACAGATGAGGTCCTGATGAAGAAGTGCCTAGACAGTAACTTCTGAACCATCTTTCTTCCCAGCAGTCATGAAGAAAACTTGACGGGACAAAAAGATTGTTATATATTAAGATTTATCAGACAGACACACATATAGTTTATGTGTAGAATTTTGTAAGTCCAGATTATCTGAAAATTAATGGCAACTGTTGGATAATTTTTCATGCCTTCATGCATTGTGCACGTGCATGAGTTTATATCTGATCAAACCTTATGTTCAGTTTGAGTTCGCCAGACATGGGGAGGAATTTAGCAATTAGAACAGGGTTTTCTGTAGCATTCATACCTTGTCCTGAAAGATAACTACAGTAGGAGACACAGAAAAGCTATTCACCTTTCTTCAGTAGTGGTGAGAGAAGGGGAGGAGCTGCAAATAACTTGGGGCATAACCAGGCAAGACATATCTTGTCTCTAGCCCTTTACAAGTGTCTCCTCACCTTTCAGCAACTGGGCTCAAATGGACAACTTCAGGCTGATGTTTCCTTTCTGTCAAAGTCAAGGGAGGAGAGGGATTAAAGGACTGCATAATAAATAAGGAGGGGTGACACACTAGGCATTGAGTCAATATCCACTGAAACCCCTACAGCTCACCTACTTTTTGCAGCTTTTTACAGCTCACCTGCTTTTTGCTGCCTGAAGATGAGATGCTTAATCATCTCTCTCTTTACTGGTTATAAAGGGAGACAGGTGCTTCCCTAGAGTGTTAGTTCCTGAAATAAGTGTCTAGAGAAGTTGGATGAGGCACTCACTCTCTCCACTGACTGCTGAAGGGGGCTGGATGTCTGCCGTTTAGATGGGTAGACAAAATGCATCCCTTTCTCTGAAGCAATCGCCTTGTCTCTTTAGCTCTGCAAGTGAAGAATGTCTCTTTTTTATGTCATGTCTAACACAGCATGAGAACAAATGTAGTAGAGGGTAACGTCAGCATATATCTTGAGAAAAAAAAAAAAAAAACAAACTAGAAATGAGCATATAACCGTGCCTAAGTAAAACCAATTACCTTTCTCATTCCTTTCTCATGCAGGAATTTCCCCAGCTTTTTACACAGCAGTGAGAGCATCTTACCAACATGGTGCAGAAAAACAATATTCAGAGGGATTCCAAACAGAGCAAAAAAGACACAGAAGATCTGGCCCCCAGCCGTTTTAGGATGCAGTGTGCCATAGCCTATGAAAAAAGATGGGTCAGAGGAGATATTCCAGAGAACTGGAGCAGTCCACAGTCACATTCACACCTACCCCAATCTGTCTTGCTTTTGACCCCAAAAGATGTGGGTAGCACTTCTCAGTCCACATGCACTCTTTTTTCTCTGAAAAAGGTAGTAAGCAGATGAAGTGATTCACTCTGCATATTTGGGGGGATGCAAAGAGCACTGTGTGCTCCCAACCTAGCCTTAGCGGGAACAAAAGCAAAATCTAAAAGCAGTTATGGAAAAAAATCTGTCCTGTGATGAATACATGGAAAGACAGAAACCAGAAATCTGGGGATCTGGAAGACATCAAGGCTGGAGTCCCAGGCTGTTTGCCATGTCAGAATCACATACAGCCATCTCTAGATTCTTGTTGTGTGTTAGTGACCTCCCTGGGTAAATGCCAGTAAGTTGGTATGTCCAAATACTGGCTCCAGGCCTGGAGGCAGTGCAGTGTGCATTAAAATAATCAGTGCTAATTAGTCCAGACCTTAGCGGTGGCTGATTTATTCATACCAGAGAGATATTTGTCTTAAAGTCCTACTAAAAGAACATTTATCTAAGCAGTGGAACAACAGCTGCAGAACTCCAAACATGTCCTTTAATGGACTGGAGATTTTGTTCCTCTTAGACCACATGAGGTACATCCCTGAGTGCAAGAGTCCTGTACTTTGTGCATGTCCTTACTCTATCAGTGACCCTGAGAAAAGGCACTTTCCCAAGCACAGTTCATCTCAAGGCATCCATTACTTGGAAAATGCAATGTTTTATTTGGGGGAAAAGACAAACAAAACAACTGAGTGATTTATTGCCTACTAGGACCCCAAATGCTTGAGCTGTCGTTTGCTCCCTGTTGCAGAAATATTCCATTTTCATTACAAAACCTGGTGAAGATGAGCAGAAGTACCTGATGTACTTTCACAACAGACCTCTGAAGATGCAGAGAAACAGGCAAAGTTGCACTTGTCCTGGGACAGCCTGTCTGCCTCACTAGGGAAACAAATTTGATGGGGAGCATCTGATGTGTTTGGCACAGAAATACTCTAATGTAAAAGCACAATAATACAGGTGGTGGTGAGGAATGGACTGGCTAGTAGCAGGGTGCTGAGAAACTAGGGAAGCTTTATCGATATGCAAATGTTGTTGTAACCTTGGAACATTTGTCATTGATGTGATGATGGGTCAGAAGCCTTCCTTTCTTCTGCAGTAGGAGGTTTCCACATGGGTTCATGCAACACCTACACATCTGCCATGATGCTGGGACACCACTGGGAACTTTGTGGCATGTGACACTCACAGATCAATAGACCAGCTGTGCCTAGGGTATAGTGGGATTGAGGCCTCAGCTTCACTCTGCAAAAACATAGATTTGACTTTCACTGCATGAGTGTGTGAGGTAGGAGCTAACATTGTAGATTTTACACTTAAATTTGGCAGGCCTGCAGTTTTTGGGGTGCCTATCTGAGAGAAACGGAGAGACAGGCAGGGGCAGGCAACCCCTAGAAAGTTCAGAACAGCTTGAAGCAGCAGTCTAAAAGTCTCAGCATTTGCTTTGCCCCCCTTCCCATTTTTTTTCCTCCTGGCATATTACTAATTCAATATGTGCACTAACAGCTCAGCACAGTTTATTGAGACAGTGACCATGTCCCTGAAGGGTTCACTTCTTTCCTACCATTCTTTTATATTTTACAGCACTCTCAGATTTAAAGCCCATTTGACTGGAATAAAGACCAGGAAAGTGAAGTTTATCTCCCACCCACAACTGGTAGCAGAGTGAACATTTTAATTGATCACTCAAAAAGAAGAAACAAGTGGGAAATAATATGAAAGGCCACTAGTATTTCACAAGCCAAAATAATGCACAAAGAGCTGTGCAGCAGTGAGGCTTAGGACTGCTTGCCATCCATGACAATGAAGGTCTGGAGTTTTTTATCCTTGAAAGTATTATCCATTTTGGGTCCTACCTGACATACTAAGCATCACACACACACCAACGTAAATACATGGAAAACATCAGACATACCTATTGTGGAGACAACCGTGCCTGCAAAGAAGAAGGAGTTACTGAAATCCCAGTTGCTGTCTTCAATCTGTGACTCATTTCCAACAGGGTATACTCCATTCTGAATGGCTTCAGTCAAGTTCTGGGAGGGAAAGCAATCTTTGGTATCAACATGTCTGCTTTTCTCAAGTGCTTGCTGCAAGAATACTGCAGATTTAGACAACTACTGCTCCTTTCCTGTGAATAACACTCACATGTCCTCAGCAATATGCTGACACTATTCACACCTTTACCTCCACGGTTGGACAGCACCCAGAGGTGGTTTTGAGTATCAGTCTTTTGCATTGTTTCTGCTGACTGATCTAGCAGGTGTTAGGAGAACTTCTTTCCTTCAGCATGATCAAGGACCTCAATTCTTTTAGGCTAAATACTTTGGAAAATATGATCCTATAGATGACTAGGACATGGCAGAGCAAGACAGCCCAGTGGCTTAAGTGATGGAGTAGCTGGTTGCTGGTTTTGAGTTTGCCCTTGAGACAGCGGTGGTGGATCCAGGATCTTATCACCCACCTTTAGGCAGGCACACTGAGCAGTGACTCTGATCCCTCCCAGGAGGGCATCAGTGAGTTATAGCAAGGTACACATGACATACGCAGAGAATTTCATTTTAAGGCTGTATTCTGATTAGCGTCACAGATTTAAATTCAGAGAAAGTCCATTGATTTGCAAAGTATTACTCTTGGTGTGACCACAATCAGACCTCAACCTGACATATACATGCTTCTCCAAACTGCATGCATGAAGACACACACACATATTTACAGTGTGGCCTCTGAGGTGAGGTTAGATGAACATCTGTCAGAGATGGTTTGGGTTGAGCTGAGACTGCCCTGTCGCAGGGGGTTTGACTAGGTGTTTCTCCCAAGCCCCCCTAGCCCCATCATCTGTCATTTTCAGCCTCTTCCTTGGTTTTAATTCTAAGTGCTGCTGATTTTTTTTAAAGTTAAAAAAAATAATATTAATTTGAAAAATCAAACAGTATCCAGCTGTCCTTGCATTTAGCAAACAGAGAACATTGGACTGGACATCTAGAAGGCAGGCTGGTTTGTACAGAAAAAGCCCAGATAAAATCCTGGGCTGAGCCCTGCCAGAGGCAAGACATAAACTGGAATAAACTGCACCAGAAAAGTTTTCCCTCCTCCCTCACTATCTTTTTTGCTGGTGTCCCAGAAAATCAGGGCTAACAGAAATCATTCCACAGCCCCTGCACAAAGGTTTCATTGTCTTGAAAAGTTCCTCTTTTTTTTTCTCCTCCCCTACAAATCCAAGGTGAAGAGGGTGCATGTCCATGTGAACTGGGGGCTGTATTCCTAATTGTGCTATTAGAAATACCAGTTCCACCCCTTCTTTCCTTATCCTGCAAACTGGCCCATTAAGAGCTCCATTAGCTTCCCATGCAGAAATGCTTACAGCAAGGCTATTTGCACTCCCCATTTTCTTCTGCATTGTAGCAGATATAGCTAGGAAACACTGAATATGAAGAGGCAACCATACTCTTTCTCAGCTTCCTGTGCTATGACAAAAAACACATTTCCCTTGGCCAGGCTACCTGTTTTCACTTCATCTTCAGAAAGTAAACCCTGACTATGCTACCCTCCTTGTAGTGATTTGGGCTTCTTTTTTGCCCAACAGATTATTTCAGACCTTGCCGTGTTGTTCCTTTGTGCTATCTGTGACACTGCTGTAAATATCAACCACACCCATTCCTTTCAGACAGCCTCATTTTTCCTGCTGTGCCACCCATTGTAGATGAGCACAGACCCCCTGAAAACCTGAGCAACAGGAGGCAAGACCCCAAAGAATTGGGACATCGGGGACTGTTAATAGTTAACACACAAGGTTTTGTCAAGCTACACAAGCTGTATTTATCAGCAGCGTGACCTGCCTGCTCACAGGCTTGGGGTTTGCTAAAATAATCCAAACGACCACATCAGTAGGAATGCAATGAAAGTTATCTGTGTAGCAAGGCTGAATAGGAAACAACATCTGATGGGGAAACAGGAGGGAGAAAGGGGTTCCGCAGGGCTGGTGCTTACCTTCATGAACTGCTCCATCTCTGCCACAGTGAGGTGGGTGAAGTTCTGCAGAAAAGCCTCCTTCATCTGGGCAGCTGCCATTTTTTCCTGCTTCTCAGCAGTCCTCTCCAGCGCCTGGAACACAGCAGCACCCACTAGCAGGTAGACAAAGTAGCCAACCACCAGCAAACCTGTCTGTAATTTGCCACTGCACATGGCCTTCAGTGGGACACAGCAAGGGACAGGGAATGAAATGTAGCAAATGGTCAATCACTCGCACTCCTGAGAAGCCTTCTCCAGGCAGGAAAAACCCTCCCAGCTCCAGTTTCCACTGGGATCCTGCACTGACAAGGGACAGCGAGATGTCAAATACATTCATGGGGAAGTTGGAAAAAAAGACCACCCCACACCAAACAAACAAACCCAGCCAACCCCCCCTCCCCCCCCCCACAACAAAAAACCCCAGCCCCCCCCCCCCCCCCCCCCCCAAAAAAAAAAAATATTTCCACTCTCTGGGATGCATGCTGTTTAGGGATTTCCTCTTGTCTGTGAAACTCTGCCTTGCTGAGTTCTCAGGAAAAGTGGGTCAGGATGTGAGGAGCTGGCAGGTGGCCATCCCCTGCTCAAGAGGCTCTGGGGATAGGTGAGAATAGCCTGCAAAGGGCCCACGGGGGAGCTTGCTTGGAAAAACATTATTTTCCCTCCTCTGTCTCCTGCTAACTCCAGGAACTAGACTCCAAGGCAAGCCCTGATGACCCCAGAAGCCTTCTTGCCTTGTGTTCAGGGGCAGCTTCGTTGCCCTTCTCTGGACATGCTCCAGCACCTCAATGTCTTTCTTGCAGTGAGGGGCCCAAAACTGAACACACTATTCAAGGTATGGCCTCACCAGTGCCGAGGATGGGAGGGCAATCACTGCCGTAGTCCTGCTGGCCACATGATTTCTGATGCAAGCCAGGATGCTATTGACCTTCTTGGCCAATAAAGTTCCTCTGTTGGCCCTTTCCTCCAGCCTTAGTAGGGGACAGCCCTGCCTGCAAGCCTGGTCCTCTCAATTTGCTGTTACATGCAAACTTGATGAGAGTGCATTCCACCACCTCCTCCAGGACACAGGACAGGCCTCAGGACAGACTCCTGTGGTACTCCAACTACACTAGGTAAAGTACAGCCCATTAACCATTAAGTTCAGAATATCTTTAATGTCTTTGGCAATGATCTGGACAAGGGGATCGAGTGCACGCTCAGTAAGTTTGCAGATGACACCAAGCTGGGTGGGAGTGTTGATCTGCTGGAGGGTTGGAGGGCTCAACAGAGGGTCTGGACAGGCTGGATCAATGAGCTGAGGCCAATTGTATGAGGCTGTCTTGGTGTCAGGACCACCACC